CATCAAAGCCCAGGTTTTCTAGCCCAGGCTCAAGAGAGGTCTTCAGAAACATCTCCATTCCAACCAGGAAACCATCTTTGCACCAGGTGTGGTCTGGTTGGGCACTACTAAGATCTCTTTGTGATGAGGAAGCATGGCTCTGCCCAGTGCCATGACAATCCAAGCAGGACAAGGAGACCCACACTCGGGCCTGGGGCCAATGGCCCCGGGCTCTGAGCAGAAAACACTGGGCCACTTGGCACCTTGTGGCAACAGGCAGAGAGGCACCACTACAGTGAGCAAAAATGTATGGGGTGATATTGGGGGGGGGTGTCATTTCGTGTGGACAGAGGCCTGGTGTGTCTGATAAGTCTGACCTAGTTCTCTGGATATGGATTTTACTCACATATTCATCCTGTAGTCCCAGTTCACTCCAGTCATTTATCAGTTGGTGCTGTAAGGTGGCACTGCTCATGTATTCACAGAAATTCAGTCATCAGCTGGACATTGGTGGTGCACGCCTTTAATCTCAGCACTCAGGAGGGAGAGGGCAGGCTGATCTCCGTGAGTTTGAGGCCAGCCTGGTCTACAGAGCGAGTTCTAAGACAATCTCCAAAGCAATACAGAGAAGCCCAGTCTCACAACAACAACAACAACAACAACAACAACAACAACAACAAAAGAAATGCAGTCATTTTCCATCCTAAAAATGGAGTGACTGCAACAGGGCCCCAGTGTAGGGAGCTGTCCCTGCATTCTCCATTACAAGATGGCGCCTGCATCCGGCAGGCACCGAATGTAAAGTTAATGTGTGCAGGCGCTGGGTAATTTTCCATTCCTTGATCTCTGCCTATTCCGTGGCGTCATGGTCCAATGAGCTGCAGCCAATCATAGGGTGACACGTCCCAGGCGGCGGTTGCCAGCCTTTATTAGGGGATGGGATTCTTGGCTCGGGGTCTCCGCTCTGGTAAGCTTATGCTCTCCTCTCAAGACGCATTAAAGCTTTACTGCAGAAGGATCCGAATGTCCTGTGTGGTTCTTGCTGGCGAGACGATAGCGCGGGACACCCCAGACCTTGATAGATCTCCACCTTAGCACAACTGACTCCATGATAGAAATACTATTCAGGCCATAAAACTCAGCATGTTGACAGCACCACCAGCCAAAATAAAAACAAAGACCTAGTCCATCAAAGTCCACAGTTCTGGGACAGTCTCTAATTTCACTAACCTTTCTTTATACCTTCTGTAGTTTGGCTTCTGGCTGACCATTCTTGTTAACTGAAGTGTGTCAACTCAGAACATAATTTTATTTATTTATTTATTTATTTATTTATTTATTTATTTGCTTAAAAGCTCACCCTGAGAAAGGCTCTGGGCTACACTGGAATCCCAAACACCCACTGTAGTCCCTGACTGGCTAATGACAACTTTCTGTTGGCTTAAAGCCATATCTGATCAGTGTTCTGTATGTGGGATATTTATATACTGTGTGAAGATGTATTGGTGTGATTGGTGTAATAAAAAGCTGAACAGTCAAAAGCTAGAAAGAGGTTAGGTGGGACTTCTGGGGACAGAGAGGACTCTGGGAAGAAGGGTGGAGTTGCCAGGAGACACAGAGAGAGCAAGCAGGATATGCAGGAAGAGAGGTAACAGCCTCAAGATACTTGAAAGAATGCAGATTAATATAAATGGGTCAATTTAAGCTATAAGAGCTAATTAGGACAACCCTAAGCTATAGGCCAAGCTTTCATAATTAATCATAAGTCTCTGTGTCATTATTTGGGAACTGGTGGGATAGAGAAAGACTGGTTATAGTCTTCTCTGGTGACTATCCTACAACAGTAACAAGCTGCTTGTAAAATGTTATCTTTCAGGGCAAGGCACATTCTGAAAAACAACATTTTACACAATATGGAGTAACTTAGAGCAGGGCACAACTTGAACCCAGCGGAGCTGCTAGAGGACTGAGGGTGTAGCTCAGTGGGAGAGTACCTGTCCAGCTTGTGGGAAGTCATGGTGCTCCATCTCCAGTATGATGATACAGGGGAAATGTTAGAAAAAAAAGGATGCTCAGGGGCTGGGAATGTAGTTCAGTTAACAGGGAGTTTGCCTAGCAAGCCAGAAGCCCTAGGTTCAGTTCCTAGTACCACATGACCTGAGTGTGGTGGTGCATACTGTAACTTGGGAGCATCAGGTGTTCAGTCATCTTTGGTTACATGATGTTTTAGATGAGTCTGGACTGCAGGAGCCAATCTCGAAAGAAAGAAAGAAAGAAAGAAAGAAAGAAAGAAAGAAAGAAATCAAAAAGGAAAACAAGAAGAAAGAAAAAGAAAGGAGGCCTTGCCATCAGTGCTTGCTTCAGCAGCAGTATATTTAAATTGGAATGATAGAGAAGATTAGCGTGGCCTCTCTGCAAGGATGGCATGTGAATTCATGAAGTGTTAGCTATTTTTATTCCCATGGTTGGAGAGGGGGGATCTTGAGAGGCTTTAAATTTGCCTTTGTCTAAAAATAATAACAACGAAGCCAGAAGATCTAAGTTAGTATATTCAAGGCAAACCCAAGAATCTCTGTGCTGTGTCTAATAATGGATCTGGACTTTTGTTGTGTTTTGTCACCTTTTTGGGTTTATTTTTTTTTTTTTTAAAGACAAAGTTTCTCTGTGTAGCCATGGCTGTCCTGGAACTAGCTTTGTAGACCAGGCTGGCCTGCAGCTCAGAGATCCACCTACTTCTGACTCACGAGTGCTGGATTAAAGTGAGCCACCACTGCCTGGCCAAGAAATGTACATGTATATTTAAAGATACAGTCAGAGGTTAGAATTTTTTTTACCTTTTTTTTGTTTGTTTGTTTTGGTTTATTTTATTTGAGGCATGTTGACATATAGCTCAGGCTAGCCTCAGAACTTATTATGTAGGTGAAGCTGTCCTTGAGTTCCTGATTGCCCTGCCTGTACTTCCCAAGTACTGAGATTATAGGTGTTGCTGCCCTGGCTCAGATAGATTGGAATTTTGAAACCCCTAACCAAGGAATGTCAGGGGCAATTAAAAGCTGGAAAGGGCACAGGTTGGTGGTGGTGCACACCTTTAGTCCTAGCACTCAGGAGACAGAGAGGCAGATCTCTGTGAGTTCAAGGCCAGCCTGGTCTACAGAGTAAGTCCCAGGACAACCAGGGCTACACAGAGAAACTCTGTCTCAAAAAACAAAAACAACAACAAAAAGCTGGAAAGGACAAAGGTTTCTCTTTGAGGACCACCAGGACCACATCCCTGTCCAATGCCTTGCTTTCAGGCTCCTGGCTTCAAGAACCATAAAAACATGTGTCTTACTTGAAGTCGTTTGGTTTGTGGGACTGGGAAAGGGCAGCACCAAGAAGTGACCATTGCACCATCCTTCGGAGAACAGTGCAGGTGAGTCTCAGTGCTTGTAAGACTCATTAACAGGATTTATTCATCTTGTCACTGATGAAATGACAAGTCAGCACTGTCCTATATCTTGCCACCAGTGTTACATGATACTCTTAACATTGTCCCCACATTGCTTTTTATTCCTGGACCACTGGAGTAGGAAACACACAAGTAATACCCAAGGTGACTCATTAGCAAGACAACACCCCAATTTAGTATCCCAATGTCAGAAAGCACAAAGCTAATGAGGGATGATTTTCACACCAAAGGATACCAGAAAGGTAATTACCTCTGAGATTTTTGGAGTATGTGAAGGCTTACATGCTTTCTTGAGATGTTATTTCTCTGTATTAGTAGAGTGATACGTAGGCTTAGAAAATCTTCTTAGGACAGTAAAGTAGTCTTTCTCTAACAGCTACCAGCAATATGTTGCTTTGTGCTCTGAAAAAAAAATCAGTGAGTAGGCACGAAGCTCAGTTAGTAGAATTCTTCCCCAGCAGGCACAAGGCCTGGGGTTCAACCCATGACAACATAGCAGAATGCTGTCCCAGCATTCACAAGGCATGGGGTTCAACACATAAATTGGGCATGGTAGTGCACACCTGTAATCTCAGAAAGGGAAATAGAAACAGAAGGAGTTCAAGGCCAGTCTGGGCTGTGTAAGACCCTGTCTATAAAATGAAACAAAATGCATGCATGCATGTATGTATGTATGTATGTATGTATGTATGTATGTATGTATGTATGTATATTATGTATGTATGTGTGGATATTTCCCAGGTGAAATGCCACCTTATACTGCATATCCACTATAATGTGTAGTTGTTTGTTTTTACCCTTTGATCTTTGGGAGGTCCACCACCCTGCTCCCAAATAAATCACACAGAGTCTTATTCTTCTTATGAATACACAGCCTTAGCTTGCCTTATTTCTAGCTAGCTTTTTAAAACTTAAATTATCCCATCTATCTTTTGCCTCTGGGCTTTTATCTTTCTGTATTTCTATTTCTACACAAGACAGGATTTCTTTGTATAACCCTGGCTGGCCTGAAACTTGCTCTGTAGACCAGGCTGGCCTTGAACTCACAGAGATCCTCCTGCCTCTGCCTCCCCAGTGCTAGGATTAAAGGTGTGTGCCTCCTTGTCCTGGCCTATCTTTCTCTATTTCTTATACCATTCTTAACTTCTTACTCAGTGGCTTGCTGTGTAGTTGAGTAGCTGGCCCTTGGTGTCCTCTTCCCTTCTCTTTTTTGCTCCTTGATCTTCTAGATTTCTCCTTCTAGTTATTCTGTTTGCCAGCCAGCCCTGCCTATTACATTCAGCTTTTTTTTTTTTTTTTTTTGTTTTGTTTTTCAAGACAGGGTTTCTCTGTATTGTTTTGGAGGAGGCTGTCCTGGAACTCGCTCTGCAGACCAGGCTGGCCTCGAACTCACAGTGGTCCTCCTGCCTGACCATTCAGCTTTTATTTTTAACCTTGTTTTTATTGAGCTATACATTCTCCCCACTCACCTTCCCTCTACCTCCCCCCTCCCATGCCCCCCATGCTCCCAATTTATTCAGCTCTTTATTAGACCAATCAGGTGTTTTAGACAGGCAAAGTAACACAGCTTCACAGAGTTAAACAGATGAGCATAAAATACAACAAATACATATTTGCATCATTAAACAAATGTTCCACAGCATAAATGAATGTTACACATCTTCTACTAATATTCCACATCAATAATGGCTAAAAAAAATAAATAAAGACAAATAGTAGACGGCTGGAGTTAACACAGGCCTTTAACCCCAGCACTCGGGAGGCAGAAGGAGATGGATCTTTGTAAATTTGAGGCCAGCCTGGTCTACAAACTAATTTCCAAGACAATCAGGACTGTTATACAGAGAGACCCTGTTTGAAAACTAGAAGGAAAAAAAAAAAAAAAAAAAGACAAGCAAACCAGAGCATCAGGAATGCTTATCCAAGGTGAGTGGAAGTTGACCACTGCACTGGTTTTAAAAGCCACATTCGACTTTCACCTACTTTCCTTCCCAGCAGTGCTCTTCCTAGGTTTATACCCAAATGAACAAGTTGATTTACACCCACAGAAAGAATTAGACCAGAGTGCTCCTGGCAGTTGCTTCACAGGGGACTGAAACCAGCATAAACCTCTACTCTCAAAAGATCAGTGGCAAGATTTCCCTTTGTTAGAATGCCTCGGGGCAATAATCAGTCAGAGAGAGAATGTGGTGCTAAAGAGATGGTAAAGTGGTTGAGAGAACTGTCTACTTTTCCAGAGGACCTGGGTTCAAATCCCAGTACCCACAAGGCAACTAACATCTGTCTGTAGCTCCAGTACAGGGAATCTGATGCCCTCTTCTGGCCTCTGCCCAGTCATATATCCAGGCAAACACTCATATACATAAAAATAAATAAAAGAGGCTTGCCGTAGTGGCACACACCTTTAATCCCAGCACTCAGGAGGCAGAGGCAGGCAGATCTCTGTGAGTTCCAGGAAAGGCCTCAAAGCTGTAGAGAAACCCTGTCTCAATCCCCACCCCCACCAAATAATTTGGTGGTGCATGCCTTTAATCCCAGCATTGGGAGGCAGAGGCAGGCAGATCTCTGAGTTTGAGACCAACCTGGTTTACAGAGTCCTCCCCCGCCCCTCTCTCTCAGGTTTTTTGAGACAGAGTTTCTCTGAGTAAAAGCCCTGGCTGTCCTGGAACTCCTGTAGACCAGGCTGGCCTGGAACTCATGGAGATCCTCCTGCCTCTGCCTCCTAAGTGCTGAGATTAAAGGAGAGAGCCACCATGCCTGGCTAATAAGGTATCTTGATGGATGATGTCTAATCAGCCCAGTGTAACTAACTATGGTGCCATCTTTTGGTGTTTTCTAACCTTTAGGATGCTGGGATTCAGCATGGCAGTCAAGGTACCTAACTTGGTGGCTTAGATAAACACACTAGCCACCACGCCTCAAAACCTGAGTACAAGCCCGGCACTCAGAAGGCAGAGGCAGGTGGGTCTCTGTGAGTTCGAGGCCAGCCTTGTCTACAGATCGAGTTCCAGGACAACCTTCAAAGCAATACAGAGAGACCCTATCTCGAAAAACCAAACCAAACCAAACCAAAAAACAAAACAAAAAACCAACCAAACAAACAAAAAACCAAAACCTGAGTACAATCCTGAAACCTACATAGTGGAGAACAGAAGCAACTTCCACAAGTTTGCCCCTCACCGTGGCAGGTGGGTATGCACTGTGCCTGTATATGCATGCTCACCGAACCAATCTAAGGTTTGTAAATCTTGCTGTAAGTGAATTATGTGTCTTTAATGAAGCCAGTTATGTTGACATGGTTATAGAATACAAGTTGGGCTGGAGGGATGGCTCTGGTTAAGAAGAGTCTATTGCTTTTGTAGTGGGCCCAGTTTCAGTTCCCAGCACCCACATGGGGTGGCTCACAATTGCCATTAACTATATTTCCAGAGGACCCAACACCCTACCTTCTTCTGACCTCCAAAAGTACCTGCATGTACATGGTGCACATACATACACTCAAGCCCACATGCATATACAAAATAAAAAGTCAAGAGAGGGGGCCGGAGTGACAGTGACAGCCCAGCAGCATGAAGCACTGGCTCCTCATCTCAGAGAATAATTCTCAGTGCTTGCATGCCAGCTCACAACTGTCTGTAACTCCAGTCTCAAGGTACCCAAGGCTCTCATTTGTCAAGGGCACCAGGCACATATGCGGTGCACAGACATACATGCAGGCAAAACACTCATATGCATAAAAATATATTTACAAAAGGGTTTTAAAAACAAAAAGTTGCCCAGTGGTGGTGGTGCTCGCCTTTATCCTAGCACTAGAGAGGCAGAGGCAGGCAAATCTCTGTGAGTTTGAGGCCAGCCTAGTCTACAGAGAGAGCTCCAGGAACACCAGAGCTACACAGAGAAACCCTGTCTAGAAAAACCAAAATAAAAGAATAAATAAGTAAATAAAAGTTCATCTTTAAAGATATATTAAATACTTAAAATACTTGTGACAAAATATTATTGACTTT